ATGTTGGATCTCAGTGGAGCACGTGGGATAGACGAGAGCAGGCCGGTTATATCGATTACGAGATACACGGGGCCAGTGATAATTGCGAGAAGACACATGAACAGGAATGGAGAAAATACACATGATTATAGCATGAGGGGCTAAACAACAAAATAAAAAATAAATTAAAATAAAAACACCAGCGATACTTAGCTCAATCAAAGTAGGATTTGCCTCCTCTTTGCCTCCCTCGTGACTCCTGTAGGACTCCAATGTCTTTGTCAGTCTTTGACTCCTGTAGGACTCCAATGTCTTTGTCAGTCTTAGCCTGTCTGATGCTGAAGCTGACGCTCCAGGAAAGTGATACCTAAAATGGACGCCTGATTGCTCAGTTCTCACAGCTGTAGTTAATTAGTTAACTATCTACAGCTGATGGGCGACAAAAGACTGGCCCTGCCTATGTTAATAATGGAGGCTTGAGTGCTGAGACCTGTAAAGCAGGTTTCGCCTGAGCAGATCTGAGATTTAAAATCTCTCAAAAGCGATTTAGCCGTTTACGCTACAATAACAATTTATACAGAGTCGAATAAATGAAACCGAGAAGTCTAATTAAACAAGAATATAACTTACAGTGGTTGCTGCGTCAATAGGTAATGTCGTTACCAGGTCCAGATGCACACTGTATTTGACCAGGATCAGGAAATGTTGTTACAAAATAGGCCACACATGCTCAAGTGTTCTGTTTTCTGAAGGTTAGTTAGTGATTTCCCAATAAATCGTGAGATACAACTCCAAATAAGATGTTTAAGAGTCTTTAACTTAACAAGATACTTAAGATGCATCGTCTAAAACAAGACCCTGTATCTTACTTAACAAGATACTTAAGATGCATCGTCTAAAACAAGACCCTGTTTCTTACTTAACAAAATACTTAAGATGCATCGTCTAAAACAAGACAGTGTATCTTACTTAACAAGATACTTAAGATGCATCGTCTAAAACAAGACCCTGTATCTCACTTAACAAGATACTTAAGATGTATCGTCTAAAACAAGACCCTGTTTCTTACTTAACAAGATACTTAAGATGCATCGTCTAAAACAAGACCCTGTATCTTACTTAACAAGATACTTAAGATGCATCGTCTAAAACAAGACCCTGTTTCTCACTGCATTGTTACTTCTTAAGTTATTAGATCTTATACAGGGTGTCCGCGGGGTCTTATAAAGTAGTACTTAACAAAATACTTAAGATGCATCGTCTAAAACAAGACCCTGTATCTTACTTAACAAAATACTTAAGATGCATCGTCTAAAACAAGACCCTGTATCTTACTTAACAAAATACTTAAGATGCATCGTCTAAAACAAGACCCTGTATCTTACTTAACAAAATACTTAAGATGCATCGTCTAAAACAAGACCCTGTATCTTACTTAACAAAATACTTAAGATGCATCGTCTAAAACAAGACCCTGTATCTTACTTAACAAAATACTTAAGATGCATCGTCTAAAACAAGACCCTGTATCTTACTTAACAAAATACTTAAGATGCATCGTCTAAAACAAGACCCTGTATCTTACTTAACAAAATACTTAAGATGCATCGTCTAAAACAAGACCCTGTATCTTACTTAACAAAATATTTAAGATGCATCGTCTAAAACAAGACCCTGTATCTTACTTAACAAAATACTTAAGATGCATCGTCTAAAACAAGACCCTGTATCTTACTTAACAAAATACTTAAGATGCATCGTCTAAAACAAGACCGTGTATCTTACTTAACAAAATACTTAAGATGCATCGTCTAAAACAAGACCCTGTATCTTACTTAACAAAATACTTAAGATGCATCGTCTAAAACAAGACCCTGTATCTTACTTAACAAAATACTTAAGATGCATCGTCTAAAACAAGACCCTGTATCTTACTTAACAAAATACTTAAGATGCATCGTCTAAAACAAGACCCTGTATCTTACTTAACAAAATACTTAAGATGCATCGTCTAAAACAAGACCCTGTATCTTACTTAACAAAATACTTAAGATGCATCGTCTAAAACAAGACCCTGTATCTTACTTAACAAAATACTTAAGATGCATCGTCTAAAACAAGACCCTGTATCTTACTTAACAAAATACTTAAGATGCATCGTCTAAAAAAAGACCCTGTATCTTACTTAACAAAATACTTAAGATGCATCGTCTAAACAAGACCCTGTATCTTACTTAACAAAATACTTAAGATGCATCGTCTAAAACAAGACCCTGTATCTTACTTAACAAAATACTTAAGATGCATCGTCTAAAACAAGACCCTGTATCTTACTTAACAAATTACTTAAGATGCATCGTCTAAAACAAGACCCTGTATCTTACTTAACAAAATACTTAAGATGCATCGTCTAAAACAAGACCCTGTATCTTACTTAACAAATACTTAAGATGCATCGTCTAAAACAAGACCCTGTATCTTACTTAACAAAATACTTAAGATGCATCGTCTAAAACAAGACCCTGTATCTTACTTAACAAAATACTTAAGATGCATCGTCTAAAACAAGACCCTGTATCTTACTTAACAAAATACTTAAGATGCATCGTCTAAAACAAGACCCTGTTTCTTACTTAACAAAATACTTAAGATGCATCGTCTAAAACAAGACCCTGTATCTTACTTAACAAAATACTTAAGATGCATCGTCTAAAACAAGACCCTGTATCTTACTTAACAAAATACTTAAGATGCATCGTCTAAAACAAGACCCTGTATCTTACTTAACAAAATACTTAAGATGCATCGTCTAAAACAAGACCCTGTATCTTACTTAACAAAATACTTAAGATGCATCGTCTAAAACAAGACCCTGTATCTTACTTAACAAAATACTTAAGATGCATCGTCTAAACAAGACCCTGTATCTTACTTAACAAAATACTTAAGATGCATCGTCTAAAACAAGACCCTGTATCTTACTTAACAAATACTTAAGATGCATCGTCTAAAACAAGACCCTGTATCTTACTTAACAAATACTTAAGATGCATCGTCTAAAACAAGACCCTGTATCTTACTTAACAAAATACTTAAGATGCATCGTCTAAAACAAGACCCTGTATCTTACTTAACAAGATACTTAAGATGCATCGTCTAAAACAAGACCCTGTATCTTACTTAACAAAATACTTAAGATGCATCGTCTAAAACAAGACCCTGTATCTTACTTAACAAAATACTTAAGATGCATCGTCCAAAACAAGACCCTGTATCTTACTTCACAAAATACTTAAGATGCATCGTCTAAAACAAGACCCTGTATCTTACTTAACAAAATACTTAAGATGCATCGTCTAAAACAAGACCCTGTATCTTACTTCACAAAATACTTAAGATGCATCGTCCAAAACAAGACCCTGTATCTTACTTAACAAAATACTTAAGATGCATCGTCCAAAACAAGACCCTGTATCTTACTTAACAAAATACTTAAGATGCATCGTCTAAAACAAGACCCTGTATCTTACTTAACAAAATACTTAAGATGCATCGTCTAAAACAAGACCCTGTATCTTACTTAACAAGATACTTAAGATGCATCGTCTAAAACAAGACCCTGTATCTTACTTAACAAAATACTTAAGATGCATCGTCTAAAACAAGACCCTGTTTCTTACTTAACAAAATACTTAAGATGCATCGTCTAAAACAAGACCCTGTATCTTACTTAACAAGATACTTAAGATGCATCGTCTAAAACAAGACCCTGTATCTTACTTAACAAAATACTTAAGATGCATCGTCTAAAACAAGACCCTGTATCTTACTTCACAAAATACTTAAGATGCATCGTCCAAAACAAGACCCTGTATCTTACTTAACAATATACTTAAGATGCATCGTCCAAAACAAGACCCTGTATCTTACTTCATTGTTGCTTCTTAAGTTATTAGATCTTATACAGGGTGTCCGCGGGGTCTTAAAAAGTATTACAAGTTGATAAATCAATTTAGCGAAGATGAAGGTTATTAAAAAGTATTAGGGCATTTTCCAAGGTATGACATTTTGTATCTTGTTTTCAATAAGTATATAAATGGTCCAGAGAGGTTGTATTCTACAGTCTGCCTGAATGTAATCATGGCGTAGGTGTGTAGTGTGATTCTGTGTAGTTTATTGATGATCCCGTTGGGTTTGACGTCATCTGAACAGGACATCGCACGCTCACTGCTTGATAGCGCGAAGGTCCGTTTACGCCGGTTGTTAAACAACATCGTTATGGGGAAATGCAAGTCTGCGTCCAAATGGAAGATAAGGAGGAAGGACAATCAATACTGTATATAGTCAATGTGAGGTAAAGTGTGTCGCCAAGGTAACCGGTTAGAACTCCAAGTGGCGATGAGGTCTTAAAATGTATGGAAAGGGTCTTAAAAAAGGTCTTGAAAGGTTTTACATTTGACTTCAGGATTCCTGCATAGACCCTGATATATATCAAGTGTAAAGACATATTCTGACTCGATATTAGACAAATACGCTTGGCAAGATATAGAGGTGTTGTAGTGTGAGCTTTCTCTGGACTTTCAGGGTTTACATTTGACAGCCACTCATGTCGAATGATATAATTATAAAGAATCAAAGACGATTAATGGCTTTTTGGAACATGCTATTTTGCCATTTTAGCTTTTCAAATGCTCACATTTTGCTTGACTCTAATTCATTTGTCCAAATATAAAAGGTTCCCTGTGGTTTCTTGCAATTGAACAAAGTTGCACGCAAATGCATATCTGTGAGGCCTGACTGACTCATGCTTTTTCTTTGTTTAAAAAACAAGGACATTTCGTTTTAATACTTTATATACATTTGCCAGCTCATAGCCTCCTTTTATCCGTCTGCATATAACAACTAAAAGTGCTGACAAAATGCAGACACACCCATAAAAACAGTGATCCGGTGCCAATAGTGATGCAATCTCCACTGGGTTTTATTTGTGTTGATTTTCATTTGTCTTCCTTGTTTTTCAGAGAGTCATTTTCAACGTGGTCAACTTCTCCAAGACCAAGAGCCTGTACAGAGATGGCATGTCTCCCGTCGTCAAGTCTACCAGCCGGCCAAAATGGTAAGTGTCTAATAACAACATTTCTACGATTATTATATCGAAGAGGTACGCTTTGTACTTTATTATAATGTCATCTATATAAAAAGAAAGAGTATTTATGTCTTTGCTCTACTCCGCAAAACTTTTCTTCTATGCACAAGAGTAGACATTTCTATTTCCTACAGCACCTCTCTCTTATAACACACACACACACACACACACACACACACACACACACACACACACACACACACACACACACACACACACACACACACTAAAGACTGATACTTTAGATTTCCAGAGTGGATGCGTCCGGGCGCATTAGCATGTGATCCATTGGTTGCCAGTATGACGGCTGTCTGATGTAATAACGCTTGACTGATGGATGCAGCGGTGTGTGTGTGTGTGTGTGTGTGTGTGTGTGTGTGTGTGTGTGTGTGTGTGTGTGTGTGTGTGTGTGTGTGTGTGTGTGTGTGTGTGTGTGTGTGTGTGTGTGTGTGTGTGTGTGTGTGTGTGTGTGTGTGTGTGTGTGTGTGTGTGTGTGTGTGTGTGTGTGTGTGTGTGTGTGTGTGTGTGTGTGTGTGTGTGTGTGTGTGTGTGTGTGTGTGTGTGTGTGTGTGTGTGTGTGTGTGTGTGTGAGGAGGGAGCGGGCCTGCTGAAGTGGGGCGAGGGGGGGGACAGGGTGGCGTGATGAAGTGTTGCCGTCCAACAGGAGCCCTGACATCTGTCATCTGCTGATGGAGGGCATCCGCAGAAAGAGCCCGGCATCTGCCACACTCAGCCATCTGCGCCTGCTAGCCTAGCGTAGCGTAGCATAGCATAGCGCCGGTCACAGGCTAATGGGAATAGACACCGGGCACGACACCGCAGACAGGAGAGATGAACTGCTGTCGGAGATACGGCACGGTGCAACATGACGCCACTCATCTCCGCTGATTCTGTTTTGTGGTGTAGTTGCAACTTTGCACTCGAGAGTTTCTCTGTCATGCTCCTGGAGGTCTGGCTTTCTCACGCTGCCAGCCACTAGCTTGATAGTGACAGCCGTATATTTAAAGTGAAGCAGGGCAAGTGCTGGCTGTAGAATTTCTCAGGTGAGTGTAGTAACACGTAAAGGGATAATGTGCAGCGAGGCGGTCATTAATGATAAAAGAATACAGACGGGTTGAGCAGGATCCCAATGTGAAGAGATCTTGAATCCAAGTCTATTCATTCATTGACTTTTCCACGAACCACTCACATGCTTTTTAGGGGTTTTCCCTTTCCTTTCCTCTAGTGTGTTATAGGTTTTAGTGCATGTCAATGGTCTGCAACGTATACAATCCAGAGGAAGTTTAGGCACCTGAAACGCCTCCATTGGACTCCTGTGTTTAGACTAAGGGGCGGGACATTTCTAAGCGGTTGACCAATCACAACAGAGCCGGCCAGCTAACCAATCAGAGCAGACTGGGCTCTGGTTTCAGACAGAGGGTGAAAAGAGGTGCTGCAGCACAGGCAGTATGAGATGAGAGGGATTAGTTTTAGCTATGAAAGGTGCTTTACAAATACAATGTATTAGTACTATTATTTAACATGTCACAGTGGAGGCACAAAATATGAACTTGAAAATGGACTTAGGGCTCCTCCAAACATGGTTCATACATGTTAGCTTCAGTGTTGACTTCCTGTCTCTTTTGTGACGTACCACTAAACTAAATTGTTGTGCTCGACAAATGTAAACGTACTTCCTTAGTGTTAGAGAATAATTCTGTCTTTACTCCTAAATATTTAAATATTTTCTGTGTGTTGACATTTACGATCAGCCCTGCTCCTTATCTTCCGTAAGGAATGTGATAATGCAGTCGTATGTTGATACTATACGTTTTATGGCTTGACCTAGCGGACATAGGGGGTTTTACGACTGTGAGAACGCTGGCTTTCTAAGCTCCACAGATGTGAGAGACATCTCCAGGTCCATCTGCAGGTGTTCACGTATACCTTCCCCCAATATGTGGATTTGACTCTCTGTAAACTAGTTAAAGGGTCTACCAAGATGCGAGGCTGGTCAGAATTGGCATGGCAACCCACCCGTGCAGTCAGAACCTTTTGCTGCTGTGACTTGTGATATGAATTCTCCGGCCGTATCCTTGTAATAAACTATCATTGTTTGACATCAAAGCTCCAACTCTCTTCGTGTCTCTCTGAGTCCTGACTCTCCATTGCTGCAGAAGTTTCCCTTACACTTAGCAGTGGTCTCGTAGCGAAAAACAGTTTGAGAAAATGTAATATTCATCTTCGCCGTGTAATAATGTCAGTTAAAATATTTTATGCCAGTAATTATTATCCCACTTTCTGAATGGATTTGACATAATCTTGACGGTGTTAATCTGAGCTTTGTTGGGTCACTTAGGTCCCAAAGCTTTTCTTAATACACCAATCATGCAACCCTGGCCATGTTTATGTTTTGATAAGCTCTCATAAATAGGTATTTAAGTGACAGACACGGCAGGAGGCAACGTGGATGAGGCCTACTCCAATTACCTCCCCAGGTTTTAACCGCCCTCTCAGCACTGTGCCATCTAAAAGGCATCATGTGTCCTGCACTTATGGAGCCATTTTCAACTGTCTAGGGTTTCCAACACCACAGCTGACATTGTTTGTGTCCCCACAAAGTGGTCAAGATGCTTTTAACACAACCTCCTCTATTTGACTTTCCACCAGCACAACAAAGCGCAGACAGCTCCTAAAGTAGCAATCTTCTTTTTGACAGTTACAGATATGGAATAAATAAAAAAGGCAGAGCGTGGAGAGCTTCGCCTGTCTGATCCAAACTCACACAGGACAGGATGAAGAAGGTACAGAGAGGGAGAGATGGGAAAAGAGAGGCAGGGAAAACAGACAGAGAGGGGAAAAGTACAAGAAGGAGAGATTAATGAGACAGGTAGACAGGGAGGAGAGAATGAGAGGGAGAGTGGGGGGAGAGATGGCTCCCCCACCACCCACCACCCCTCGTCTGTATTTATCAAAAGCAGCGTCAGTATCAGCCCAGGAGTTGAAGCCGTTATCTCACCGTGCAGATGCCTCGTGTCCCGGGGCCGAGGCATCTCTGGGTGCCCGAGGCTTGGCTGGTCTCGGATAAACTGAGAGACAACTGGCAGATTACAGTCCTGCTACAGGTGGAGGGATCTGTCCTCCATCCCTTCCTTCATCCCTTCCTTGATCCCTTTTTCCCTCCATCGCTCACTCCATGACTCCTCAGGCCGTGAGACATCAGAGTCCACAGAGGCTAAGATTTACCGTATCATCTGGCATTTAAACGCAGCCACTGGTTACATATTTGGTACATCATTTAATCTTGTCTTCCCTTTTGCTCCATGTTTGGTCGTCGTCTTTCTTGTCACCCTCCATGTTTGCCCCTGAATTGTTTTGGTCCCGATCCTTCCTCGTGCTTCCTGGTTTGGTAATCTTTGTCATCGGCAAACACCTTTTTGATTAAAGCTCGCTTTTTGTTAAAAGTACTAGACCTTTTGTCTTTTTACTGCATTTGGTTCCTGCCTTACCCCAACATCCTGACAGTCCTCCATCCCTTCCTCCATCCCTTCCTTGATCCCTTTTTCCTTCCATCACTCACTCCATGACTCCTGAGGCCGTGAGAGTCCACAGAGGCTAAGATGTACCATATCATCTGGCATTTAAACGCAGCCACTGGTTACATGTTTGGTTTATAATACATGATAGAAACCTAATTAAAATGGCCACAGTGGTTTGAAATGTGTGACAGATTATGAGAGCGCATACACTTCTTAAATGTGCGTCAAACACCAGTTTGACCCATTTGCAATGCATTGGAAAGTGGTGGCAACGCAAGTTTATTTACATAGCACCATTCAACACAAGGCAATTCAAAGTGCTTTACAAAAATGAAAGATATTAAGAGCATTAAGAAATAGTGCAGCTAAAACACATGATAAACAATAACGATAATAAAACATGAATAACAGGTACATGAATCAAAGCGACAGTACAGTGTGAGATGTGAATAGTTCAATTAAAAGCAGCGGCAACAATCCCATTCAATTATAGCTTTATCCCAAAATGATCACCCTCATTCTGTGAGTTCCTAAAAATATAAAATCTTTGAAATGAAATGGGCTCTCCCAACAGGTGGTAAGTGACTAAAGTGCATAGTGTGAAAAACAAGAATCCCACAAACAGAGAAAAGGAGTCAAAGTGTTTATGAGACAGAGGAAACCATATTTTCTCGTAGTGGTTTGTGGAAACAACGACCCCCCCGATGACACTCTGTGCCAGCCAGGCTCTGCTCGTTGTTAGACTGCTGGAGCAAAGGATTGCCCGGTATTCTTATTTTCCAAGATAAGCTAATTAGAAAGTCCGAGAGCGTGGTGTAATGCAGCTTTTGGGGGTGTGGGGGGGTTTGTGTGGGGGGGGGGGGGGGGGGGGTAATGGCCAGGATGTTTTCATGAGGCTGAATGCATCGACCAACAGATGCTTCATGAGGTGTGGAGAGGAGGAGTAGGAGGAAAGGGCAGCATACCTTTATCAATAATACAAAATAGGGTCCCAACTAACATCGTCATCAATTATTATTTATATGAGTAGCTGAATTAGTTAGTAGATGGTTCAGTTTAGGAAATGGGGTACATCTTAAGTTTACAAGTGTACACAACCTTAAGATATTCAGCTAGCAGTAATTACACAGCTTGGTTAAATACTTGATTCTGATTGGTCAATGTGGACATTCCAGAGGTTGTTATATTTCACTAACAGACCACTTGCTAAGGAGGATTATGGGATGTGCACTCGTCCTGTAAATCAACAACAAACATTCGTTTTCTCCATCAAAAAACACCATGGAATTAATTTGTAATATATGTTATATTGGTGGAAAGCACTAAACGTTGGATTCATGACGGCCGAATTATTGCCAGTAGAGAAAAGAAAAAGCCTAATAAAGAAGGAAAGAGGTAGTAAGGAAGTAAGGGAACATCAGAAGATGACAGACAGGAAGTAAACTCAAACGT